CCTTTGCGCAGAGGTAGCGTATCGGGCCACCTATTTAGTTCAACATTAGTATTGATAATCGGAGCGTAAAGAGACGTTAAACGTCGTCAAATGTTCCCGAGGTGATAGCTTAATTGGTGCGGTAAGGGCTGAATTGGCTTCGCAGAAGCGCTCACTAGCTTAAAAATCCGCTGATGAGACATCACCGATTATGACTCAGCAAGACGTCAAGGCATGCGCCACTGAGCTATGTAAAGCGATGCTGCTTTCATATCATATTCGAGGTTGGACTTGACACATACAGCTTTGGCAGAATTGTTTAATTACGATATGGTACAGTATCCAGGTTACACTTGATGTAAATAAACAAGCGTAAGTACCGCGATATAGGTATTTATAAAGATTATGGTGGTTTGAAAAGGAGTGGTCAAAGTACGCGTGTGGTGCTAGCTGCATGTCAGAAAACAATACCTGTTTCATTGTGAGCAATAGTAATATACAATTGATCTGAACGAATTTAACACTAGATAAATCAAAGCTTGTCTGTGCAAAGTGCACGGCAACCCAATTCAGTTATTGAGCAGGTGCGGCCCACACTGCGACTTCTGTGTCCACCAAACACTATCGTGGTTGCGAAGTGAATGACGCCCATAGCCTTTAGGCTGCGGTCACCGGTTTATGTGCGAAAGGTGAAGGCTTTACGAGCGCGCCTAGGCGATTGTATGATCGTAAAGAAGAAGAGGTGACTTGTCTCTTGCTCAACTGTTGATTACATCCCTGATTATCGCGCTAACCCACTTCCGTCCCACGTAATTAACGGGCCTTCAAAACTTCATACAGAATTTGGTCATGATGCTATCATAATGTTACCACTAGACGCTATGTGTTGAACGGGTCTGTGCTTTAGTACAGCAAGTCTTGAAACATGGAAGATCACAGGAAACACTCGCCTGGTCGCTTGCAAAACTTGATATTCCAGCTCGAAAACGCATTGCTTTATACTTTTTTCCTTGTAAAACACAGGACTCGTATAGTCTGAATATTATTTGCGGCTTCTCCGCAAAGCCTGCCTCATATGGCGCTATGCCCGATCGCTCAGTGTCTACAGACCAATTGATCAGATAAACTGCGGTTCTCACAGCCTTGCCTACCATGTCTTTAACATGCCCTTGTAGTGCAGCATGAAATGAGCCTTGTCAATGATCGCACGGTTCATCCGCTCTTCCGTTTTGATGTGGACTGAACGGTACAGTACGCTGGTATATTATACTGTGTCGAGTACACACATCTGCTATTTTCCTGTACCATTCCTGTACCATTTTGCCAGAATTACAACACTAGTAATGCAGCGAGGAAGCCATTTCTCGGAAGCTTAGCTAAGGCCACCGACCTGACGTTCTTTCCAAGAACCAGTACGAGTGTAGCGGATCGCAATCAGCTACCTCCGAGTGTTCAAAACCTTAACCAAGGCAAACAAACACTTCTGCTCAAATTAAATCTGTATTTAATAGTTTTAGTTGCGGCCGAGCCGCCAATATCGAAAGTCCTCGGTTTTCCTAATTAATATACTGTGTGATTACACTACCTTGTGTAATACACACCTATTTACGGTCGCACGATCTTGTACGACCGCCCTTTCATGCAAGTATACGTGTGACCCCGTTACAGCTAATGCCTCAGATCACACATGAGGAATGCTTAAACCCAACGTGTATGCCGCATTCTGCAAGCTTTATAATTAACAGCAACCGTCTGTCGAGTCCTGGAATGTACAGTACATCTAACACTTTGATGCGCTTGTCATTATTCACTGTCAGCTTAACCGCTCCTCTACCATGAACTCGTAGGATCTTGCAGTCTGAATTAGTCACATCAATGTAAAAGACCGACTCATCAACCCTATCGTCGCTTTCGATCAACCATCCGTCGAATCTCTCTTCGTCGATAGCAGATAGTGCATCATCTTCAGCACAAACACTTCCACCCAAACGGTTCTGCTTCATGTCAACTACTCAAATTTTCTTAGAGTACTTGCCTTTGTAACTACCACCGTTCTAATTCTTTTTCGTCCCTGATTACGGTTGCCCCTGAACCGGCCACCATTACTGTGTGCAGGAAACAATTCCTCTGTCATCTTCATTTTTCAGCTGTTCATGCTCCTTTTACAACTTCTCCTTGCCCTCGATTAACGTTGTGTCCTTGACGTACTTCATGACGTACGTAATCAGATTTTGGAAGGCTACTCAGCAGTACCACTAGCTGCCATGAATCGTGAACCGGCTCTCCAAGTGCCTGGATACTGACAACCAGCTCGTCGAAGGCATGTAAATGCATGAATATTATCGTGCGACTCTCCATTATAATGTCATGGATATGGCGTGTTATCTCGACACGATCGTGAAGCGTGGTGCGATTGTAGAACTCCCCTAGAGTGTTCTATCTGTGGATAGCGTCGTCGCAAGTAGTATCGTGGTTTGGCGTTGCAGCTCAATGCCTTGGACGATGGATCTTAGTGCCTTAACGAAACTTAAAAAATCAATCTATCGTCATCTCCTCTTCTCCCAAGACGCCTTAAACATGCGCCAACAACCCCCTGGCTCGCTAACGTTTTGCGCGTGTTAAAACCCCAGAGGAAGTATTTTCCACCACCTTGTACTTCGGTTCGCTCGGATGTCATTTTAGCGTGGATGCGGAGCGGCCTTGTTGCCGTTGTTAACCTGTTAGTTTGTTGGTAAACCCGAAGTGGATATTTATAAGGTCCTTAATTTGCTACGCTGTAAGCCTACTGAATGTTGCCTGATTATTATGGATCAATGAACAACTGCCACTGCGTCCGTAATCATATCGTGACCATGACGCTCACCGTGCGCATTACCGTAATCTTGTGACGTCAAAGCTTCTCCCGTACATTGCGTCATCGTAACAAACATCCATCGTTATATCGACATTTCAGCGGCTAATTAGTCTCTTCGTCCTTCTTCGTCATCTCGTTTAAAACCTGAGATATTCAACGGCAGCCCCGTTGCAGATAAATTTAAACGGAGATAGCTAAGCTGATAACTTTCACATGCGTAATTGACATTCAGCTCTATTCTCTATATCTCGAACAATATTGAGTGCTTTATCACTTGATAATATGTTTCTCGTTTCCGCGTCCTAATGTACCACTTGAACTCATCCTCTGAGTGTTTGCTAATCCGGACTTTACGAGTCAAACACTCTTTCAATACAAGGTGCCGGGGTAACCCACATACACCGCGGCTAAGTAACCCAATGTGATAATGCCTACAATATCTGACGTAATTTTTGTCCAACAATTAGAAGTTTGGTTACTCATTTGTTTTCAAGGCTAAAAGCTTAAACACAAAATTAATTAATAAGCCTTCACAATATTATCTTATATATTTTCTACTCTTTCAACATCCATTACCACCAACGATTCGCATACACGATGTCGATGGTGCGATGGCCAATATGTTAAAGACTGTGCTAACTATAAAGGATACGGCAAGGCACCCAATAACCCACCACGTGGTACATTTATCATTCTTGTTGCCAAATCGATGCAGTCGCTGCAATTCCCGCTTTTGCTTAGGTAAAAAGACAAGTGCCACGAGCCCAATAATTTGAATAATATACGACAAAACCAGCGCAAATGCTACTTGCATTCTGTCAGGATCTGTCCGGCTATTAGACGCGGTGTGAACGTCTTCAAACATAAATCCAATGGCATTTGACACAGTATTTGCCAAAAGGCCCATGCTCGACGCCATCGAGACGACAATACCAACAAATGCGCCTTCACCGCCAACAGGAGCAATTTCAGCGGTAATTGCAAGTTCTAAAACCCGAATGGAGGAGCGAATAAACCCCGTAAGACCCGATACGACCGCATAAATGTCGAGATTCCGAGCCTCAACCTCCAACGTTGCCATGAGATAGTAAACAAATTGTGGTGTCATTGTCACGATAATAAAACTGATAAATACATACCAGCGCCAATCACAATTCAGAAAGAAATATCTCCACATTAGGACTGATAACAGGGAAAACACTTGCGTCATAATATTGCGAGTGGAAATAGCCTTGGCAGTCATACCACACCAATCTTCAATACGTGTAATTGGATACGTTAGCGAGAATTCGGACAATAAAATAAATCCGATAAAAAATAAAATTACACGCGAAGTCGATTCTTTACCCAGTGCACTACGAAGACGAATCCAGTGGCCACGTAAGGCTAATTTCCCACGCTGATACGAATTTGCAGCTGTCATGTACGCTCGTTGGAGCTCAGATACTGTAGTATCTAAATCCACGCTTGTCTCGCGAGTAACCCCATTACGCCCAAAAGAGATTGGTGGTGGATCGGGTTTTTCGAAAAAACACACACAAAGTGCAATTAAGGGTAGAATTGTGTAAAATACGAAAAAGAGCATCATTTGACGCAGTGTCATCGTAGGTGACATGCCTTTATCCGTCACTTGAAGAATAGCGTAATCAGCAATCACTTGACCAATACATTCTCCTGTACATTGAGTCATTATTAGTGTACCAAGTGCAGTTCCACGCACAGTCAAACGTTCTATTCGTGTTTGCGCTATCACGTACGTTTGAGCAATCACGATCGCAACAATGCACCCAAAATTTGTCAACACGAGTAATATAATATAGAGCACCATGAGTCCCTCAGTACGTTCCAACAGATCTGCAGACGTCACGTCGTTCTTCTCTGCTCGATACTCGACAAATTGATCGAGTAATGCCATGATAAAACATGCAAGCATTGTTGTCATCCACGCGAGAATAATGTATGCTTTACGTCTTGATTCGATGATTGGTACTGCATCAGAAATAAAACCCCAAAGAAAACTATACGACCATGGGAGGAGTATTAACACAGAGGCCGCGACCACTTGGTACCTTTTCATCTCGAGTTCCAACTCAAGCAAAGGCAATACTCCGCTCTTCAAACACGTCGTCAAAATACCCGCCAATCCTGTCGAAACTAGTAATCCTATGTGTTCTCGTGACATTAAATTAATTTCAAATTTTCGCGTGAGTGCAGGAAATGGAACGGAGGTGTCTTCTTCACGCGACGCAAGTTGTTTTCTATACGTTGGACTTTGTACAGCAGACGCTGCTCCATTCATTATCGCAACGGACTCTACAAGGTGATTGTCCTCTTTGCCAAGAATCGGTACAGAACCGAGTACATTCTCCACTCGAAGACTTCGATCAAAACCACTTTGGTTCAAATTGTATTGAAAAGCACTTCGTTTCAAACTTGGGAGGTTGTGCGTCTGATTATAATCTGTACTACTTCCCAATTCATTCGCTCTTCCGGTGCGTACAGCATTACCATCATCGTAAACTGGAAAGTGGAGCCGCCCCATACTATAAAGTTGCGACTATCTCCTTTTTCCTTAAGGAGAGGGCGCGAGGGCGTGTGCCGTCCGTCGTTTTGCGTTCTGCATCACAGCAATCCTACGCTCGTGATAAGAGCGGACTTTACGGTCGTACAGCCGGAGCAGAGGCTTGCAAGATAGATGTGCTGTGGCTTATTTCTGGCCAAATCTCCCATCATGGGTATACCTCGTACCGTATCACATTTTTATTATATTCCAAAGTATCAATTACTCCTTATGGTTTTATTATCAAATCTTTAAGCTCCAATTGATAATGCATATATTTCTCGATGATAAATGAATACAAAACGCTGATTCTTTCGATTTATTGCGATACTTAATACTTGCTTGCTGACTGGCCATCAGCTGTCGGTAGCTATAAAAAATAAATTAGATATAAGATACCTAGCTGCTTGTGTCCACACAATATAATGTATGATGTATCCATTACAGTGAAATTTGATACCAATAATTTACTTGACAAATACACAATGTTGGAAATTAACAATCTACAATAATTCATCTTCAAAGAGTGTGGGAGAAGCAGGTGGGGCTGACGGCGATATTAATGGACGTGATGAAGCCATTGCCATAGCACTTGGAGAAAATGATGGCGCGGATGCACCTGCCAATGGAACTAGCAGCACTGGAGCTGAACTCTCATCTTCTTCCGGTGGAGGTGCAGAAGCATCAGTGTCCAATAGCTGCAAGTATCCCGTTCTTACGTCAGAAAAGTCTTCGACTCCAGCCAGCAGCAATTGTTCTCGTTCAATTAGCTCTGTCCGCATTGATTGCCACCCGAAAAGACTCAATTGAGGAGCCGCTGGTACTTGTCTTGGTACCGATCCTTCTCTTGTAAATTCATCCTCTCGACTTTCCTCTTCGCCGAGGTGGTTTGATACACTTTCGTTACTACCATCCGAACGACGTTTACGAATATATACTACCGCAGCAAACACCAAAATAGCAGCAGCCAGTCCTCCGCCCAGCAAGAGATTCCAAATTGATGAATTAACTTTTTCCTCTTGACCTAATGTGGCACCATACGTATTAGCATATCGCCCGTCGTAGTCATTCGTCACTACAACGCCATTGCATACCGTCAAACCAATGGTACTTTTCCAGATTGAAGCTTCACATACTGCAATACACACGCATCCTCCTTTGCCATAGCAAAATTTGGTTAATGAACCATCGATCCGACCTTCCATCACGTCAGCAAACACCGTGTCTCGACAGTGTTGACACTCTTTGTCTTTGACCTTGCAATAATTTACTCTATCCGCTAAAAACTGGACTCGTTGTTCATCGCTTTGCGGAGCATTGTTTGATGCGTTCTGATATCGAAAATCCAAAGCTGATACATACGTAGATGGACTTTTCTGCACACAACGACCATATTGATTCACGAGACAGCTATAAGTGCTATTTACGTTGATATTGAGGCAGTCGCGACAAGTTCGAGGCTCGGTACAACCATCACTTCGAGGTCTATAATAAGGACAGAGATCGTCAGCTGTCCAGTCTAAAGGAACCGTCACGGCATTGGTCGCCACTTGATTTGTGCAGTTCGATGATCCACTTCCATTTCTAAGCGAATCGTCTGATGAAGCATTTGAAGACAGTTGAACGGTACTGATCGATGCACCAGATTTTGGAGAAGAAGGTAGTGGCATTGATGGTGGTGCAAGAACTTGAATGTCGTACTTATCAGTATCTCGGATGACATCACTGTCAGGACTGAGGTTTGAAACGCCCATGACGCGTTCGTGGTTTCTTGGTGACAAGAAATACGTTCAGAGCATTGGAAACTGCACGTTGTAATTCTGGGGTATAAGTGGAACAAGGTTGTGATGCAACATTTCTTCTTATTCTTTCATACGGTATATATGTAATAATTTGATATTTAGAAAGATTTTATGGGTCTTTGTTCGCTTCCCACCGCTACAATTTTGGCACTGTTCTAGCTGTAACGATTTTTTCATTTGTATGCACGTTTCCTTATATACTAAATAAAAAACCTCTCTTTAAGGACACGACCAGAGATTTTTCATTTTGAGGTTTTTGGTGGGAAACTGAAAATTGTATAAGCTAATGCTAACGCAAAATTTCGGCAATTTTTTTATATAGTGCTTCAACAATCAAATGTAAATGGCCCCGTTAATCTGACGGCGTTGTTGTATCGAACCAAGGTTGACCATGAGATTGATTCAGAAGGGAATTTATACATTATGTTAAGAGACTTGAGATATTACATTACTTTCGCAGTGTCGTGCATTTACTCTTCCAAATGTTATCTTGTTTGAGCATAAGAATAGTAGTAAAAAAATATTATAATATCTAATAGTTCATTATACGAAGAAAAGTTTGGAATATCAAAGTTACGAGATCTAGACTATTGATGACAAGATCCTTGAAATTTTCCAGACCAGCATGAACTCTTTAGCTCACTCCGATCGAAAGAGGGACCGACAGTATTTGGTATAGACAACTATGTAGATTCCGTCGAATATTCCATTTGTTGAAGGTGCCAATAGAGCTCCAAGTGTGATGATGTCATACGGTGCGTGTCGCAACACCCGTTGCAAGAGTGAAATGAAAAAAAAATCACTGTCATTGCGCCACCATCAAGCAAGCCATCCTACGACTTGCCTAATCCTGTGATCCTCCAAGTTTCACGGCCAATGTCATTTAATCCGACACGGCGCTAAACAGCGGAGGCGGTATCCGGTTGAGTGGAGATTTTTTCGAACCAAATGTCGCATCAGTTTTGTGAGACGTCGACCTTTCAAATCTCCCAGATTAATGGAAGGTCTACACGCAGGCGTTTTAATGAAGTACTTACGATGTACCACATGCAGGTATTACGGCGATGCACAGTAGCCAAAAGATCATCGTTTTATACTCAGCTTGCTTGAAATGCCGAATTTCGGCAATCCTTGCTTTTAGAAAGACTTCCTTCAAATCAAATGTAAATTTTATCTCTTAAAAAGGTTCGGTTTACGAGGAATATTTAAGCTATCCTTGGAGCCGGTAAATGGACTCTAGGATCAAGTCCACCAATTCTTTCTTTATCGACTGGCATGGTGAAAAAGTTTGCAACATCTGTCTCTCACGAAAGAATTCATCTATCCCTTGACTGAGAGATAAAAGCGTGAGAAAGCCTTGACAGATGTTGAGAAGATTTGCGACTTCTATCCCTCACAACCACGTCAGTAACCATTTTCGCATTCGATAATCAAATTCTCAAGAGTTCGAAATACGTCCAAGGAGGTTCAAGGTAATATTTGGATGCACAGCTTATATTAGACAATCACTCACACTTCGGCTCAAGTGCTGGTCGATATTAATGGAGGACATGGGAATTGTTAGCATGTAAAGAATCTCCTATCAAGAAAAGGTACAAACTCTTTTGATACACGATATGGACACATCGACTGAATAGCTGGCGGCCATGTCACATTCAGCCATACATTGTAAATTAAAAATGGTAAAGTTAAATTGTAGCCAACGTGTTAATGGAATCGTAAAAGCATGCATATAGCCTCCGCAGCGATTAAATTCAGTTTATGTCGTCACTGAAAATGGTTATGTTGTGCGCGACGCAATAAGCGAGCGACTTGAAGAATGCGTCTAAGCACCAGCATTATTCCCAGTAAAGCCTCCGTACATGCGGACGACAATAACGTAGCTAAGCGACCTAGTTTTCACTTCTAAGTTCTCGCCCACCAGCTGTGCACTCTCTTTCAACTTCTTCATGAACTGTAATGTCAATTGCGAGCATATTATATCACACGGATATTTTACGAAAAAGCTCAAACACTATTATTGTTAATATTCTATGCAGCAAAATTCAAATAAGAGTGATCCAAACTCCAGCGTTGTGCTAAGTTGTCATCTTACGTGCTTTGTCCTGCAAGATGTGAATCAGAAATAACCAGACGGAATCTATTCAGCAATTTCAAATCCCTAGAATCGAAAGTGAAGTTCGCTCTATATAGAAATCGAAAGGGTCTTGCTGAGTTTGTCATAGAGATTCTAGGTTTACATTTGCATGTATAAAGGATTCTTCAAGAGTCATTATCACTCGTAGTCAGTCCACTTGGTGAGAAGTATTTTCAATTGGCTACCATAAAATCTTTGTGCGCTTGACAACGCTACCTTTGTTTTTACTCTGCTTGCAATCAAGTTGGCAGAACAGATATCGTTTCAGTTAAAACTTCCAATCGACTTCATCTACTAATGTTACGCCGGCAATTGTTTTCTTACCGTAATTTTTGATCACGAACATTCCTGGAACCATCTTTTCAGGCCAGCGACCACCTGGGGGCGAAAGCAACGCCTTTACAATCTGAGGATAATCTTGACGGCGATATCTTGATTTGACGACGCACGTCTTTTGGATCTTAGCGCCGACAACATTCAAACAATATTGATAACAGCAATAGAACATTACGCAGTAAAAAATCGATGTCCCAAACCTTATTTCCGCTTAAGTACGCTACAGAAAATCTCTTTCTCCTTCTGCGGCGCGGAGCGCGTTCCTTGTGGATGTCGACACGGCGCAGTCGGTGGAAGACTTGAAGAAGGCAATCAGCCACAATTAAGTGCGAAGCAGGCAAGTTGAAGCTCTTCCTAGCCAAGACGGAGGGTGGCACGTGGCTAGATGAGGCAGGCGCAGCAGCTGTGGCGCTCGATAAACGTGGACACCTGCAGCGCTGCGAGCAGATGAGATCCACGATTTGGATCGAATCCCCTAAGCTCTTTGACGATAATTTCTAACCGGGCGAAGACCTAGTTCACGTACTGGTAGTGATTCCGGATGGTGCTGTTGGTTCGGCGAGCGACATTTTCAGGATGGATCAAGTGGTCCAAGAAGTGCACAAAATTCATGCGCAAAATGTGCGGACCAAACGCAAGCGATATGTACACTGAAAGGTGGGCTCAAGCCAGGGCAAGAAGCCACTCTATGACCTAGCATCAAGGTGGACTGTGCGGACTGTGCCACTTCCTGTTGAAATGGAGAGACTGGTTGTCGGGTTTGACTGGACAAGCATTATTGATGAAAATGGCGAAGAAATTGTGCTTACCGAGGAGCAGCAGCGCGAACAATATCGCCGTTATGTGCAGCACAATATTGGTGCTGTGCTGAAGGAGAAGGGGCTCTGCGTAGTCGACGTGGAGAAACGCCAAGACTTTCTTACCGTTGATGTTCCTGATCGCGATATTAATCTATTTGGACGGACGGATATACTTGTACCAGCAACGACAAGCCAATTGATCTGCAATACTTGCCTGACGTGAAGATGCTGACTGAAATGAAGAGAGAAATTTAATCAAGCTGCGACTCCAATCGTTATCAGAGCTGATCGCCCTGGATCTACTCGGTGATGATTTAGTTGTCGCACTGCTCGCTGACCTGAATGGGGCTTGGCTGTTCTTATGGATTTCCGAGAAAAAGAACAATTTGGCCCGGATCCGAACCCAGGCGAAGCTTTTCATGTGATAAGAGCGCTACTGGCGCAGCAGCCGTCTGCTGATATCGATGCTGCCACCGACATCAAGCTCCCATGCTTTCAACGTCTCATGAAGAGATTGGAACTGAAAGTGGCGCTGCCATCTATTGGAGAGGATGGTGAAAGCGGCGAAATTCGTGAGAGTATCGAACGGGTTAAGGTCCCGACTTGGACATGGCGCGAGCTGTGGCTAGACAAGTCACTCGATCTATCCCCACGTTGAATTCTTTCGGTTGATAATTGATCTCTTGATAGTTTTTCAAATAATCGGAAGAAATGTACAGACGAGACGTAGTGAATGACATGTGGGTTCAGTCCGTAAACTTAATCGTGAGCAGTAATTCCATGTACCCATGATAGAGCCAGCAAAATGCCCAAGGTGATTAGCAATAGTACTGGTGGCAGATGCAACACCAAAAGACTCAAGGATGAAAACAATATTTGGAGACGTGGCTTAGACGCAGTAGCAGAAAATACACAAGCCTGGAATGAGGTAGAGATTGCCGTGTTATCCGAATGCCTATGTCCAGTAAAAGCGACCGTAACACTGTACTTGGTTATATGAGCGGCATCCGGGTACAGAAACGATTCCGCACCATGCTTCTTAACATACAGAGAGCTACATCAAGTCTGAGCACGAACACTGTTCCATAAAAAGCTTATAGTGAGCCATCGAAACAAAAGTCTACACCATTTAGATCCAAAGACGTCGAGTCGATAATATCAAAATTTCCACACTTCAGCATAACGCAGAAGCACCCTGACCATTTATAGCATGTGTTCGTCATTGAAACTTTGTATGGTAGTAATCGCGGAGCGAAGTGAAATGTTCACTTCCATTGAGCTGGGACATATAATCAAAGTTGATAACACCGCTTTGGTATGAGCTCTGATCAAGATGTTATCTTCACAGGCAAATCCAAGATATCATGTCTTTTGCTCAGACAGCCAACTTGAAGGACGAAGTATGCAGTTCGAAACAGAAAATGAATCTTTTGTTTAATGTCCTGTCTGGAATGTAAGCTCAGATAAGTTCCATCAAAATCTATTATGAACCGTATATAACATCAATGTTCACTCAAAAAGCTACACTCTAGTCTATAAAATGCCTACCAAAGCCTGTCTTCTGTCGGATGGCGTCTGTTGTACGCCAAAGGATTGAACACTTGAAAGAGATTGAGTCTCAACGTCTCGAGCCTTTTCCTCCCGAATATTTCTTCTTCTTACCATCACCACAACGACAATGAGCGCAACAACACCAACAGCACCAAGTGTTGAAAGCATAATGATAAGCGGGTCTGTGCCACCCGACGATGCTTTAGTTTGAGTCGAGACTGTCTGTGCTCCTTGATCGTCATCGTTTTGCTCGATTTGCTCAGTCTGCTCCATTCCGGTATATGGAGCTTCCGCGGTAGGAGTAGACACGTCAGTAGTTGACTGGGTCGGCTTGTTGTCGAATAAATACGCATCATCCGTTGAAGTAGAAGGAGGTGCAGCGAATCCACTCTTTTTCCCCAGCTGAAATGAGCCACTTACTTTGAAGGCTGGGTTCCATTCCTTCGGTATTGAATTTTCCGGAGCGAATGTCACAGGAGCAAAAGTCGTTGAATCATAAACGATTGGCGCGGCAGGAGCGGTAGGCACATCAGTAGTAGTTGGATTGGTTGTGGGAGGAGGGTACGTAGTCGGCGTTTCAACAGGAGACAAAGGCACAGCAACGGGTGAGATTTCTGGTTGTGGACATGGTGTAGAAGTAGCAGGGTCAGGTGTAGGAATAGTAGGACGCACCGTGGGGGGAAGCGGTTCTTGTATGAAAGGTGCTGGAGTATCTGTTGGTGGAGTATAGTACGTCGGTGGTTGTGAAGGCGGTACTGTAGGAGCTTCGGCCGGTGGGGCAGTAGGAGCCAATGTCGGTGGGGATGTCCAAGGAGCCAGGGTCGGTGGTGATGTCCAAGGAGCCTGAGTTGGTGGTTCATATGTAGGTTTTGAGCTAGGCGTGTATTGCTCAATTGTTGGCGATAGTGCAATACCCGAAGGGAATTGATACGTGCCTTCCGTGCATGAATCGGCGGTAAGCGACACGGTGTCTTCAATTGAGTTTCCGTTCACATCCGTAACGGAAATCGTCAGATGGGTTAGATCAGTCTGAGTCTTACTTGCACCGTCAAGTAAATAGTAATAAGCCGACCCGAGCATGGTGGTACTCTGACCGTTGATCGTTAGGCTTTTGACACCAGTAGCGCAGTTTGTTGGTTGTATCCCCATCCAGTAATTGTTACTACCGCCTTTAAGACAATAGTTGACATTACCCGACACGGGACAGTCAACAAACTTCCACTTAATATGGTAACGCGATGGCGTTGAACCTGTTAAAGCAGTGAACACAGACGGAGATAAATCGAGGTCTCCGTGCTTGCATTCTGGACAACGATCAAGAATTTGAACGACTATCGACTTGGACTGATCGGTACATCGATCGTCGGCACATGACACTTCGGCGCACCGACCGCAATTCTGAAGCCCATCCCATTGCTCATTGTTTAATGCCGCATAATCTGTTCCGGCAAAGTTGAGTGCTGACATCATATTGCAATTGCCTGCACTGGTTTCGCCTAAAGTGTACGTCGTACCGTCACCAGTAAAGTACTCATCAGCATTACTTCGTGCCAAAATTCCTAGAATTAAAGCAATGGTCTTCATGAATTTCTTTCAATTGTATTACTGCTGATTCTTCTATTGTGGATCGACGGCAAATACGAGAATGGAATGAGCTGTTGAAAGAGCAGGTAAAGAGTGATGTAATCGGCTGGACAGCCTATGTCGAGCTGATCGCAGATCCACATTATGTCGATCGCACTTTTGTTACGGTACGGACGACTCAGATGTCCCTCCCGATAAAAATGTAACATCTAAATGCGAAATTAAAAGGGTATCCATTTGTTGAGCGTTTACATCTACTATTTTTGATATTTTTGATATCGAGTATAACAAGGTACAAATAAATAAAGTTTCCATGCGATGTATGGATGCGTGGGATATGCACGTAGAGAAACTCAAATGTATAATACTCGTTCCGGTGAAAAGACTGCTTGCTTATCTATGGAACAAAACTTTGTCCCTTGACATCTCAACGCCAGGTGTTACAATACTAATTGTAGGCTACAGCCCATGCCTCTTCACGACTGCTGGTGGATATTAGCGGCGTCGTTGTCACTATGAAACGTTTTTGACGCACTGGTCCCATTATTGAACCTGAAAATCATGGTCGCGAACAGATGGAAAAAATCGCACTACATTAACCTGGTCACCTTGGTGATATCACCTGTTACCGTGGACAATCTACTGTATCTAGCGCTGTACGTCTTGCGACTTGATATCAGAAATTTCAAGGCTGCTGGATGCTGCAGACAGTCCCCTTGTCAAGCATGACGTCAAAGTTGAATTGAAGAACCAAGTTTTTAACACACAGTTGCACCGAGATGTGAGTGTTACAGCAATTTTCACACGTCATATATGTAATCTAAGCATCTGAGCACTGTACGACAGATCATGCACCTGATGACCGATGTAAAGCAATAGGCCAAGACTATTATACCTGTGAATTTTTAATAAATATCACTTCTTATCCGGGAGAGAAAATTTCAGCAGCATAGACTACAACAGCAGAATCCTTGAATCATTGATAATAACGACCGTTTACGAAACACAAACTTCTGTAAAAACTGGTCTGCCAATGGTGCACTGTATGTTGAGTGTTCTGACGCCTGTTCTTCATTATCAAACACCTTTTCATATTGCCTAACGTGCGAATGGGTACATTCACATAGGACAAGGCATCTGTCGTAAGAGTTTCTGGTTACCGGACTTCCGATATTAACAGTATCGGCAAATTAGGCGACCATCGGTCTCTAAATCGTCTTGTCGATAAAATACACCGCAAGATTTCGTGAGTTGTAACTTTCCAAGTTGTGTAATCGTGTGTTGCTTATCCTTTTCTTATTGAGTACAATTGTACAAGTATCACATTGCACGTTAGTGTAGTTGTGAATATTCATAATACGGAATTATGAAGCTCGACACCACAAAATAAAGTCAGATTTCTTAATAGAGGATATTTGTATTAGTCTAAGTAGCATTTAATTTTCAATATATGTGCTTTTAAAACGAAATATTAAAAGCTCTCGGTTCCGCTCCTGGTTTGACCGCACATAAAAAATCTGTGTGTAAGCACTTAGTCAAAGATATCTTCGTGCAGAATACATAGCAATCTTTTTGTACTTACTACATCCGACGAGTGACATGTGAAGGAACTGTATCAGGACATGAAATATTCGAGTACCTGTTCTCAAGACAACAGGAGTATGTGCGGGTGAGACACGTCCAGGAGTACCTCAACCTGGTGTCAGCTGAAAATCAGGTGATAGTAACTGTACATTTGCTGGAGCTTACCAAGTTTTCGCTCTGGATGAGTGGGGTTGACATGAACACGAATTCAGCCCAGCTCTGGACGGACGCACAGCGGGTCGCGGTTGTTCCTAGCAATGGTGTCACGCGCGAGAATAGGCACGAACGTGCAGAAAGCCTGGGAATGAGGTTTCTCATGTCGCGGTTGTTCGCGCCACTTTACCAGGCTATCGAATGCGTTCAAAGCTCTTAACTATCAGCTAATGAGGTTGAAAACTAACGAATTATGTCCGTGGTCTTAGCATCCTCCTCGTTGCAATAGCGTCGATTCCTCGTCCGACGCCAATTGCAGTTATCATTTCTATAGAATGTCTCCGAACTGGTGCAATTATTTATGTAGAATGAAATCTATTAGAACACCAGCGATTATCGCATAAAACGCTAATAATAGACTTCGTGTTATGAGAACTGGGTGTATTATAGTAGTTAGAAGCTTTAGATCTCAGCCAAACTTTAAAACAAGCAAGAACTCTATTGTCTTTTCAGAATAAAAAAATCGCGGTAATTGCAGATACATCACATGCGGTAATACACAACATCTGCGCCTTGTGGCCAGCCTTGCTTTTGGCTGGAAGACAGGACGAGTCGGACACCCACACAAAGGCGTCCAACACTTTGTCGGGAAATATCGAGTCGGAATAGGCACAGAACAGCCTGATAGTAATATGCTGTGTTTCTTTTACTCTGTAGATGTCGTTGTCCATATCTAGTAGGAGAAAGTGTTTCTCAAAGAATGGGTCTCGTAGTCCAGATTTGATTATCGATCCGGGCTTTGTGACGCCACAAACACTCTAATAATTCAGATTTACCGCGACGACACACAACCGTCAGAAACAGTATACTGTACGCGAAGGCATTGAAGACGCCAAATACGGATGTCGTATCCGTACGTCTTGTGGTGGGGGTACTAATAAAGGTGTTGAAGGCAATAGTGTGTTTTTGGTTGAAGTAAAGGGTTTTAAACAACGCAATGATGTCAGTTCTATTAGCTGGATTCCAATAAGACCCCATTCCATGAACTTCATGACCCGTTAATTGCTCGATAGTAAAAAAATAAGGGTGTCGCACACTTAATTTCTGGTGGCTTTGTTAAATGTTCGAAGATTAACTTATGCCAAAAAGCAGGCACACCTTCGGCGCGAACACGAGGCTTCGACAGCTATCGAGCAGAGCATGAGATTGTCTGAAATCGATAACAATGAGACTGCTAGGTACTTTACGTAGACTTCGTAAGGCAGAATCGGCAGTGAGCCGCTGTCTCAAAGTGAGACATGATAGAGCTTAGTAAATCGCAGTCTCCAGTTTTTGGTGAGCGAAAAAGTACAGGTGTATGTCGTGGTCACGGCGTGTAACTCTGGCGTGACGGTAGAGAACAGCCGTGAGATGTTGAAGTCGTAGCCAAGAAAAGAATGCAATTGAGATTTGCAATTTTTTGACACCATTCAACCCTAGTGGATTCAGCATGCGATCGTTTGTCGCGGGAAGACGCTTTAGTCCCCGAACATAGTAAATAATTTATCCTTGGGACGATGTGTCGGTACTTCAAAGCCAAGACTGCTTATTGGCGGTAAACTCGAAGGTAAAGCCGAGCTCGTCATTATTAATCTATCATTGCGGACTTGCAGAGGCCTGACTGCATGGAGTGAATCGGCTATTCGTATGGATTCCAACGATCAACATGCTCGAATATCACGGTATGATATTCGAGCATGTTGATCGTTGGAATTCACGGGAGATTCACCATCATGTTATTCTTAAACAGATGGGTGAGTGCGGTACGAAGCCAGCGGAGGAGCTATGTACGTTATCTATGCTTAATGAATCACTGAGTTACTTACACAGAAATGACTGCTTGAAGGGGGTAGCCATCCTCAAGAATGCCAAAAAAAATTCTTTATCTTTTACCGCAGGTATATCACAACATGGTGTTATGAATATCACCGTGCGATGACAGAATGTTATGAGGTAGCAACGAAGGAACCACCAGGCGTGTTAACTCAGGTAGAGGGTGATCCGCTTTATAAATCAGCTTGATTACAAACCTAAGATTGTGCCACAAGGCAGTGACCCTATCCAAGAGAATAATGCCATTCACATTTTTTTCTCGCGCGAAGCTCCTAGGGGATTTGGTTGGAGATGTATATTCCCTATTATCACCAAATTTCTGTGGCAAAGGTCTAAGAGCAAGTGGCAAATTGTTCATGTTTGAGATACATCAAATATAGCTTAGATCCGACACAAATGAGGAAATTGTTATGATGAACAGCATGTTACGCTGCGCTCATTCGTCCCTCGACTAAGTTGATAATTAGCAGAGATATCGTGATACTTCTCTTACCGCGGCGACCACATTAAGCGGTGAAACCTGGAAGTTCCCGGCTATGATACATTGGCACATTATGCCACTTGACCAATGAGTCGTTCAATACACCATCGTTTACTAGAATTTACACAAAACAGCATGTGTATGATACAACACCGAGGCAAAAGCACAACTTCCGGCACAAACGCCCCTTCGATGTTCGACCGACTAGCGATGTAGCTGTTCTAGCTGCATCGCGGTAAGGCACAAACCTGTACCGACGATATGTTTGTCGATAGTCGTGCGGATAGCGATAAATTTAATTGCGAGCAGTATACACCTGTATAATCGGTTTGCCAGATAGACAATTTTGTTTTGGCGCTGAAAACCTTCTTTTTGAGGGCTAAGGCCTGCGAATGGATCCCGCAAAGTTAAAGATCACTGTATGTTGGCTAGTGTCCCTAATCCGAAATTTGTTGAGCTACAAGCACGACCTGATCTATTACTTGCACAAATATGCTGATATGGCAGAAACTGGACCAATCTTATCAAGGAAATGTTTAATGGTGTCGAGGAGCTGCTATACAGCCTTGGATGCTTTTCAAAAGCCTCTTGTGAGCGTTTTATGGATTTTTTCATTCAAATCGGCCAGTCTACGTTGTCGGTGACGCTTCTGCTTTTGCAAAAAGCTACGCTCTGCTTCAAATAGATGATAATGCTTGATGGCGCGGTCGCTTTTGTGTCCCGACATCCGGAAGCTGCTGAAAAGAACCACCTTTTTATGACAAGGTGCTTCTTGCATTAAAGTATTTCTTCGGCAAGATTTCGAGTGTGCATGCTGAGTGTTAAGCCGTTCGTGATCTATACATATCATCTGTTGTTGTAAATTGTGATATTGATCAATTAGTCTGGCCAGGTGGTTATCGTTTTTGCCAAGTATATCTTTGAGATCAGGCGTAACTCGGGACAGCTTAATGTTGTCGAACACCCTCTTTCATATCGCCTAGACAATGCACCGTAGCATATCACAATGGTCGCCTCGCCAATTCATAACACTATATGTGCAGCGTACGGGTGAGATGCAACATATATTGCGCTGTTTTAAAACCTTAAAATTAAGAAAACTATCAACCCAGCTGTCGCTTTTTCGGAGTGCGCGATCGCACTGCTATGCCTTATGCCAAGGTTTGCGGTATTATGCGCTGGCCCATGTAATTCGCTGCGTGTAGTGATGCGTAATAGTAAAACCCTATATTTTTCAATACTATACGAGGCACATGATGTCGCGGTGGATGACCACATCAGGAGATAAATAACTTAATGCTCGATGTGCGCAATGTACTGGAGCCGGCCCAACATGTATAAGTGGGCAAGCACATAAGTGCACGGGAAGTAAATTGTTTCTACGAGTTGAGCCCTACGCCGCGTTCGGTAGGACCTTCGGTCATCCTGACATTCCCGAAAGATTGCTATCAAATTAAAATTATAGGCGTGTTTTTGGCCCCCCGAATAACCCGTCAGTCGTTCAGACATTACCGGCATTGCGGCCTCAGTGGATCAGATGAGCGGGATAGCCCATGTCGATAGTGATTCTGATGGGAGTACAGACAAGCTGGCCAACGACAAAGTATTCTGTTAACATAGCGTACCGGCAGTCCTTGTATCGTATAGAGACAAGCGCCAGATTGAGAAGTTCTTACAAACATTTTTTTAGTTGCTCGGCACCGGATTGGTACGTCAATCGCTGACGATTGGAAAACAAATGATCAGATATTACGCGAATCGCGCTATTAAAAATTTCTTCTGGGGCGTCAGCCCAGAGAGATCTCGCCTTTAAGGTGAGGTGCTGCCACTCATTATGCTTCCACTGAATGGCATAGTGCGCTTCTCTACCGGATTTACCCATTTTTACATAAATGTGTTGGAGGGTCCGCGGGTTCAGTGAACACCTCCACGAAGTACAATTGGTCTGATTGAAGAGGGGGCTGTCTTGAGATGAACTGGCTGATAGCAGCCGGCTGCGATTATAAAAATATCATAAACATGTATCCCAATGATACTGTGCGTCTTGCGCTGGGTGTGCGTCGGTAATGCTGGAGGTCAATACGATATAAGTATGCAGTGTCTGCGGTCTATACGATCACGTCGCGACCGCGCTACATGGAGCCGTTCTTCATCGCAGCGGGAAGAGGTTGAGCTATGCATCGAACCGCTCTTAACCATAGCGAAAAGTGATTGAGATAAATTTTTCCATCCCGAAAAATGCACGTACATCCTGTGTTTTTTGTGTACTTACTGCGCTAACGGACTGACGAGCCAGTTGGACTCGAAGGGCTCTGTCACATTTTAAAGCAGCGACGCGAGCCTGAACCGCCGTTATGGTATTATCTGGGCAGTGCAATAATAAAGCTAAAAAATCAACCTGAGGTCTGAATTATCGTAGTTTCGGACACACCGAGACTTTCGGAGATGACGTTCGTGCCGCCACAATTCGAGCGGGTTCGCCAGGGCTAGCCGCAGTTTGGGTGATCTCACCTGGTGTTTGCTCAATGAACAGGAATGAGTTCGGTTGGCTAGATGGTACACCAGGACTGTTATTGGTGCGTGTTGAAGTGTTTAAATATCCCATTTTCGAAAGCTCGTGGGATTTAAGGCTCACCTTTGGCAGGATTACCGTGGTAGCAAGACCACTTTTGATGCAACCACAGCCTTAATTGGAGAAAAGGAAGAATCACCCATCGCTACCCACTTTCCAATAACAGGATACACCGATAATCAGGTGAACAGTTGAGCGGGATTCTTAGACGGTGGCTTTCACAGCTGTTTTGTGAAGATGAGCGGTGCTGTAAACAGCAAAATTTCAAGGTGATGGGTTATTGCCTCAGCGTTCGCATCGTGCTTTGTACTAATGAAGATCAACGATAAAAGGCGACGCTCCGAAATTATGCCTGATTCTGTAACAATTTTAAACCCTCTAGGCGGGCGGGATGGCGTGTATCTTTCAGCCGTTGTGCAAACATTACTGTCTCCAACTTCTGATTTACGTCTCATGGAGGGTACGGATTCTTCAACACTGAGACCCTAAGCGCAGACGTACTCCTGATAAGTGATGACTTGCGGTTCCAAAAAGCGCTCGCGGAACTTTTTCACGCTTGTTCCAAAGCTCAGTGTGATCAGAAAAGCTTTACATATCAGCGCTGATGTGGCGGAGACCTCAAACGGTTTAAACCATAATTACGACGTTATCATTTTAAATTCACAGATCAACTTTCTGACCTTTGTGTTCATCCTTGCTTTCTTAGTGATTATTGAGTGGATTCGCTTGTGCATACGTCTTATGCACGACTGTGAGAAAGTTATGGATATGGTGTTTTATTGTGAGTCGCAACTCGTGACTTTCTGTTCCGCAAGAGATTAGGCTAAGCTCATTATGCAAGGTCCAGCTCATTAATGACGAACTGAACATCACCACAAGCGCAAGGATGAGGTGTCAAAACGTTTCCCACGAATGGAATGAGAAATCCAAGACTCGAGCACAGTGAACTCATCCTTCCTAGAGTTCAATCGACAAGCACATGCAGAGTGTTTACATACGATAGTAATGTGTTTTCAAATTAATACATCGTGGTAAACATTTGAGCATGATATTCTACTTTCAGACTGTTCAATACATTTTTATATCTCTGAAGCATTAGGTGTATTCTGCTTTTTCGAAAATAATATTCAATAGTTATTTATGACGAGTAATATTTCTCTGTCTCAAAATATGTGTCCAAGGGTTTAAGGATTTGCATCAACGTAATATTGTAATTTGTTATTGGAGCAGTATCGTCTTTCGTATCATGATGACACAATTCAAACTTCTTCTCGCGTGTCATGTGGTCACCTTAAAAACTATCAGTAGCGTGGTCTTGATGTAGCAATGAGGTTGTTGACATCTACAGCCTTTCAAAGATTACAGCTGTTGAAACATAGCGCACTTCTATATAATACCGTTAAAAAAAAGGTACGGCAATGAACGCAAGATGGGCCTTCTTGAAGCAAAATTTGTTTGATTTGATCTTTAACGGAATACGAAATGAACTCGTAAAGATTCTTTTGCCAATAGTCTTTTAAGCCTTCAATAGAGCAGATTTCTACCTTAACAGCTGGACATGCGTCACTACGAATATCAGTCAGCTTTGCTATGTTCCAACTCGAGATCACAAATAGACTTTTGCATATTCGCAATGCTTTAAAGCTTATAAGGTGCACTAAAAGATGTCTAACGTGTTTGAATGTCGTGGCTTCTTATCTGACGAGAATATATCAATAAAATGTTGTACAAATCCACGACTTGAAGCTACTGCCCTGTCACTACACAATACATGCTGCTTATGAAACCAGAAGATCGTACCCATGTGTTATTTGATGTCCGGCGCATTTGACTGGGTACGATTTCTTAGAGCAGCATCACGTACCTACTGACGTTTGCCATGCAATCTCGCTGCATGGATCTTACTTTCCATTTCGCGAACTAAAACTAACATCACGTGACAAGTTTGTTATGATTTCGACTTATTTGTTCTTAATAGTTCTCGTCAGTACTATTTCGGCTATTGTAACCGCAGCGGATGAATATTTTGAAGGTGACGGAACAAGTTACACGCTTGGCCAGATTAGCAGTGGTAACTGTAACTTTATGTCGGCCATTCCATCTGCATCGACCAACTACGTTGCTATCAATCAAGCACAATGGAATAACCAACGTGGATGTGGACGATGCCTTGAAGTATCATGTATCGATGAACGGTGTAAAGTGCACAACAAAACTGCCATCGTACAAGTGCTCGACCGTTGTCCGGAATGTGCACATGGTGCAGTTGACTTGTCGCCGACTGTATACAAAGAGATCACGGGCATGGATCCACACCGTTTGAAAATGCGGTGGCATTTTGTGAATTGTCCTAATCCGGGCAATGTAAAAGTGTGTCTTAAAGAAGGAAGTGGTTCCGAATGGATCGCCATACAACCAACAAACGGCGTGGTTGGTGTCGAGAGTGTTATGATTAATGGAGCAACCACGACTATGCTTGATGGTGCGTATTATTACGTCTTGGTTACGAAAAAAGCAAATCTATCGGCTGTCAAGGTGAGTATTACTTCAATTACTGGAGAAAAGATCGATGGAACCTACTCGCTCAAAGTTGGTAAATGCACCGATACAATGAAACAATTCAAAACTGGGTCGACTACGTCCCAGTCACCCACACCGAGCACGACACGAGCTACTCCGACGGCCACTCCAACATCTCCAACTGCTACCCCGACGGCTTCTCCGAAACCTCCAACGGCTACTCCAACATCACCGACTGCTACTCCGACAGCTGCTCCAAAAGTTCCGAAATCTCCGAGTTTCCCAAAGTTTGCTCCTCCAGCTACATTTACGTTTCTGACAAAATCTACCACAGATCCAACTCAGACAGATCTAAGCAATGATGTTGGTCAGGAAGCAAATTCTTCAGACTCACAAATTGACCAGACCCCGCAAATTGATGACACGTCAGGAACGGACCAAAATGCGCTTATTCATCCACCGGAGAATGAAATATCCACGTCGAAAACACCAATTTCTACGATCACGCCTGATGTCGTGCCTGCTACTCCAGAAGCTAATATCACCACCTCTGAGGTTCCAAGTGCTGCATCAAGCAACGTGCCGTCACAAACTGATGATGCGTCGAAATGCCGCGTGAAAGGTCGTCATCGCCGTGCGTAGCTAGCTGTCTTTGTCTGTCTGAAGGTAGTAAGTAGTCGATGTGTCAACGTTTATCATTGTCAGTTTTGATATAAATGTAGCAAATTAAACAAAATTTATCTGGTCTTTCAAAACATTTCGTCACGTTTGAATATAGTTAGGAAGAAATTTGTAAAAATTCCAGAAGAAAATATACTACTAATGTCAAGACGAAGAGTGAAATACTACGTTAAAAGTACTGCCCTACAATCACTAAACCACAATATTTGAAGTACAAAGCTAGCAACATATTGAATATATAATCTCTTATCCTGATTCTCCCAATATTCGAGTAAACATTCTGCTATACAACCGCACTAAGAATCATAACATAAGAAATGATCACATTCCAAATATGCATTCAGCATCCACGTACTTGTTGCCTGCATTCGAAACATGTGCATTCGTCTCAGTAGTCGAGTTTTGTCGTTGCTCTAAATTCAATTGTTGCGGTTCATAAGTGACATAGCTTCGCTTAAGCGTAAGTCCGTTGCGTCGAATAAACTTCGTGACCCAATTTTCGGAAGCCTTAAACGTCGCATTAGATCGTTGAAACATATGCTGCGCCGTCTTGGCAATCCATTTTCTTGTAACACGATCTTTCTTTGCTCTTTCCTGAATCACGACAACCAAGAGTTTCTCTTCTGCATTTTCCAAAAAAGGTTTTCGACCTCCTCCACTGATCCGTTTCTTGCCACCCAAATCGCCAAGAATTTTGTCTCGATTCTTCCACCACTTGCGAAATGATGACGCACTTACGTCCCAATTAAGTGCCCCAAAATGTTTCTCTGCGCGAGAAGGGATACCTTTCCCTGGACCCATAATCCACTGAATTGCCTCTTTTTTCATACTTAATGGAATGCTTTTTCGCTTGATAATGCTAGAGTTTGGAGTTGCTACTGATGTTGTGGGATCATTTGCAGGCGCCGTACTTGATAACGTGCAATCAATAGCAATAGGAGACAAAATTATATCGGAAGGTCTTGATACTAGTAAGGAATTATTGACAGGACTGGTAGTACGATGCTCGTGTTCCACTTTAATCACTGGTGGCTGACCTGAAGTACCCGATGCCTTATACTTGATTTCAGTATTGGATTGTTCATTTTGAGATTGGACACAAAGTTGAGCTTGCATCAGCGCATGCTGCTCTTGCATCTGTCCAAGCAAATGCTGCATAACTGGATTTAAAGTCCCGTCGGGTCTCGTTGCTGCATTCATTAGCGCTAACACTTCCGTTGCCGACGGTGCCTTCATAGCAGAGAAGTCGATTAGTAGCCCGCCTTCAAAACTGCGTAATGTATTTCGTGTGGTACACACAAATACTTAATTGTGATGTGACCTTAGAGCGTAAAGATGGCGGCGAAACGAGCGCACACGACTATTTTATTGTTCATTGCAATGCTTAGTTTCGTCAGCTTGATGTGTGAATTTGCCACGGGGAAGCTTATTGCTAGTGCTGGTCACATCTTGGTTTCTTCCGAGATGGAGTGCGATGAGATTTTAAAAGAATTGCAGTTGGCAAACGATCTTCAAGATGCTTTTCCTCGCTTGGCTAAAGAGCGCAGTACGTGTCCGACAGGTCGATATGGCGGTAGTTTAGGATCGTTTGGTCGTGGTGAGATGGTTCCTGAATTTGATAACGTTGTATTTGATCAGCCTGTGGGTAACGTTCACAAAGTCAAGACGCAGGTAACAAATCTTATGATGACATTCTAAATTCATTATGCTTATAAATATTGTGTTAAAGTTTGGCTGGCACTTGGTGCTTGTAACAGACCGGTCAAGAATACGTGACAGCATGTCCAAAGATTGGGACGAGCTGTAGTTAAGTATATGATGCTTATGAGAGGCTGAAAAGGTATAACTAGAGAGATTCCAGATCAAGCATTATGTCTGAGATACTTGGGATTACCACACCTTAAAACAAAATGTATCTATCCAAATGTCAATGTATGAAGTATCCATCATTAGCACTGGACATACTATTTAATCTTCTTTTCATCACCCAGGCGTTCTGTGCAGAGCAGCACATGCCATCCAAATTGAGTCTGCACCTTCGCTAATTCACCAACTTTTCCTTCAAAAACCACCTTGTCAAACTGAGGCACCATCTCACCACGTCCAAACATGCCCAGATCTCCTCCCTTTTTACCAGAAGGACACGTGCTGTGCTTTCTAGCTAGTTCAGATAATTTTGCATTCTTATCTTCTGCAGCATTGATCTCATCGAACAATTTGTTGGCCTCAGTCTCAGACTTAACCAAGATATGGTATGCATGAGCACGAGGTCCGCTTCTGCTTCCACGGACTCCATAAATCATGATAAAGATGAGGACGATTGGGCCAAGGAAAGGCATGATTTTCATAAATGTTTGCTTAAGATCGCGGAACTGATCCAGCTCGTCAGTCCCTTCCAGACGGCGAGATATCAGCACAAGGTGCCAACCAAATTGGGTCTTGACCTTGTGAATAACGCCAATCTCGCCTTCAAATGCTACACGGTCAAATTCAGGCACCATCTGTCCACGTCCAAATGTACCCAAGTCGCCACCTTTGCGGCTAGAGGGACAAGAACTGTGCTCTTTGGCGAGCTGCGCGAACTTGGCAAAAAGATTCGGGGCCTCACTTAACTGCAGATTTAGCTCATCGGCTTGAGCCTCCGAGTCAACAAGGATGTGACTGGCATGCGCCTGGGTAGAGGCGGAGACAACATCATGTTTCGAGATAGAAATGAGGCAACACAGAGCCAGCGACGCCGATAGCGCAATGATCGTATGTGCCATATTTGATTTTTATTAATATAAACTTATAACAATAAATTTGTAGGATAAATTTCTCCATTTTAAAAGTTTTATAATCTGGCATTCAATCTAAAGTAATACTTGATTTTTTTTAAACAAACTTTAATGAAAATATAAACTGAGCGCTAAAAAGGCTTTCTTCCATATTTTACATTCAGAAACAGACTACGTATGGAGATTTCTTTCACAGTATTAAATATTTAGATTTACATCATTTAGTCGGCCATAAATTTTATGGCCGACTAAATGATGTAAATCTCGCACATAAAAAATCGGCGTTAATGACCGTGGCGACGACATTGAGCGGTTCATATTTTCATCTCAAAAAGTCAATGTTGCAACAGGTAAAGCTGAACAAATGCTTCACATCGAGACACCAGAGGACAGCTATGCATATACAAAACATGGGGTAGATAAATACACTTTTGCAGGGTGATGGTTTTAAGTACTCTTGGAGGTAGCGGATTGTGATCGGCTACACTCATACTGGTTCTTGTAAAGAATGTAAGGTCAGTGACCTTAGCTCGTCTTCCATTTAGCAAAAAACTACGGCGACCCCGCTGCACTTCGTAGCACTCGTAGTCAATCTACGTCTGAGTCGTTACGACTGATCCTCTGTGAGGATGTTCTGCATGCCCCAGGGCATGCAGGGCAGGCTTAATAAGCTAATGTTTTTACTGGGCCCTGAGGGCATAGAACGCCTTGTTTTGCAAGGGCCCCAGGCAATTAACGCGCGCCTAGAGGCGTTTTCAAATTATAAAAATTCTCTGTTAGAGCACCTATAGCAGAAGAGTTCAGCGTCGACTGCGTCAATAATGCCACCGTCGACGACGGATGACTCTTTCTGACCCAGACCGCTCCTGATGAGCTATAAGACCTTCGAGGGTAAGCATAATGAGAATCTTCTGCCCTGGGTAAGCGATGCCGGGATGGCTATGGCATCCGCGATACTCTAGAACGAGCAACAGCGCGTGGTACTAGCAATCTCCAAGCTCGAATCGCCGAGTGCGAGAATGGGCACTAACATGCAGTGCATCGGTTGAAGCTGTGCTCCCCCCTGGAAGGTGCGGAAGCTCTCGCCGCCATATCGAGCATATAGCGTGTGATCGCATTTTCTTTCTGCCCGACATGGCAAGAAAGAGTTGGTAAACTTTGTCCAAGAGTTCAGAACACTCATTGCCGAGATGGCAGCCAATCCTCTCCCCGAGGCGGTTGCAATGACCATCTCTATGAAGGCCCCCGCACTGGCGAGGCCAAAATGGAAGTCTTTTGTGTGCATCTGTCTCCTTTTAGAAAAGCGGTGTACGTGGCATTGAATACCGAATACAGCTTGAAGTCGGCACGACTTGGTCGGAACGCACACCCACAGAGCTCGTCGAGCGGGCCTGAGCAAATGGATATTAGCTATGTTGAAAAAGAAGAGGGAGAGCTCCGAGCTGCCGGGCAGCGCTTAAAACCTGACGGTGTATTGTCTGAGGCGACACGCGTCACCTTCGGACTGGTTGTCCCCTGCGCAAGGCACGAGAAGGTTTGTCAAATCGATGTTTCGCTTCTAACCAGTCTGGTTTGTCGCGAGGAAACGAGAACACGCAGTAGGCGCGGGGCCCTCTTCTGGGGAAGAACTGAGTTTTGCTGTGCCTCAAAAAGTTAGAGGGTAGCAGGGCCCACCTTCGAAGAGCTCCGTTCTCTAGAACACGAATAAGTATACAAGCTGGGCTTGCTGGTTGTAAGAGAAAATGTGAAGGGCTTTGAGAAGCCATGGAAAATCCTGGTCAAATCCGGTGCGTCGAGCAATTTTCCACGTTCGAAGAAAGTCATCTGTATGCTGAGACGCTGGAAGTACGACTGTCATTGTTCGCTTAGCGACGGGGACTTGTGTCACTGTCAAGTTTCTTGACTTCGATAGCGTGGAACGCTGTCCAGCATTAGCTTCGCATTCAAGGCATAGTCTAATTCTTGATCTGGCATGGTTGGAACACCATGAGCCATGGATTGATTGGAGGTCGAAGACTTTGGGCGCTACGTGCACGTCTCCTGGTGAAGCTTTGGTGAGTCATAAACCCACCTCTGCTAGGAAGCACACGCTCTATTGCCGCGGGCACTGAAACGAGAAGGTCAATATGCTAGATATCGGACTATCCGAGCTGTCAAATACCATAGGTGTATTGGATCAGAGTCCCGAGCATGGCTCGCGGGCTGAACTTGGAATGGCACGGAACCCACTGAGCGCTGCTCAAGTTTTGGAGAAGTCGCTGCATACCAAGAGTGATATGGTCGGCCAAGGGCCGAGGCATCGAAAGCGAGACTCAAGTGATGCACGTGGAGTGGCACGTAACCCAATGAGCACTGGTAAAGTTACGGAGCAGTTGATACATTCCAAGAGTGGCATAGGTCCGAGGCATCAAGGGTGTGGCAGTAGGATGCGCGTGGATTGGCACGTAACCCAATAAGCGCTTCGAAACAATTGCTGTATGCCAATAGTAGAATGGTCGGACGAAGTCCGAGTCATCTTGGGCAAGGCCCTTCTGATGCGCGTGGAGTGGAACGTTATCCACTGAACGAAGACTGCGGAAATAGCAGCTCTTCGTCGAAGTTGTTAATAACATCAAGGCTTCGATTCAGCAGGGACTGGGGACACTGGACGACGCCAAGTGCGTGCCCCCACTGGTTTCGATGATACGTAAAACCTTTATAGAGCGGAGACGGCAAAGCCGTATGTTATCTGCAAGACGCTGGGCGTGCAGGAGGCCCGACACGTAGACGACTAACGATCGAGAGATAAGTCTTCCGCTTCAGTAGCGGGATCCGCCGAGCGGTAGTAGTATTCTACACGAGGGTCTAAGATCGAAGGTGGATACGAGAGCAGGAGAGCCGCTCCGTGTGCAGCCTCCAATTGCTGCTCCTGGGCTTCTTCGAAGCGATTGGTAATGATACCACTTTTCCCGGAAATTGAGAGGTCGGGAAACGGACACGGTGTCCACAACGTTCGATCTGGGCTCACGTCACGCCATTTGCGCATCTCATCCTCTTCGTCATCCCACGTTGGGAAAGGCGTACCCGACTAAAACAATTGAATACATTTTTGGTTTTGAACAGAAGTATTCGTTTGCCTTGGTAAGGCTTTAGTACTTTGAAGAAGCGGATTGCACTTGTACTAATTCTTGGATAGAACGTAAGGTCGGTGACCTTAGCTTAGCTTCCTCGAAGCAAAGAGCTACGGCAG